TTGCCCTCGTCGGCGCGTGACTGGGAAAATGAAAACTGCTGGCGACACAGAAGTGGAGTGAACACACAGAGAAAATTCTATAATTGTCAAGGAATTAAAAGTCTTTTACTATTCATTATATATTCCTAAATATTTTGAAAAAAATAGATTTATAATTTATATTTTATATTTATTTTTTTTTGTAATATTTTTATATTTTTTTGAGTGCCTCAGCAACAGCGTTAACATTGGCAATAGAACATCCTTAATGTCTGCAACAGCAACAACAACACGTAAACACCATTAGCATCGTTGAGTCGTGGCACACAGCTACATCTGCCACTGGGAAGTGTGTGCTAAAGGTGCACTTCAGTGCGCTGTCAACGACTTGACATTGTTTCAAGAGCGAGAAATGCGACTTTGAAGCCTTGAAACACTCGCATTCGCCTTCGCCAGCAAATCGTAAGAGCAATGACAACATGCACTGTGTGCAAGGCAGCTCGACATTTGTCCTGTAGTTTTGAATTATGAACACGGACGCAATGCAAAACTCAGTCAAGCAAAATTTAGCATTCTTACATTTTGGGAGAGGGATGTAAGCATCAGTAGCTCCTCGGGTTAAAATCGAAATTAAATGTATTAATCTAGGCAATATTTAATGGCTGAAATGATTTTATATATTTTTATTAACGTCTTCAAGGCTTTTTAGGGAAAATTAATGGTTATAAAGATATGATTAATGGCTTTTTTATTCCTAAATAAATTTAAACAAACTCCTTAAGAGTTCAATAGCTATTAAGATGAATTATATGAGATGTTGGTAAACTGTATTACGGGGCGGATTGTGTACTTTGCTTAGATATTACGTATACGAATAGTTCTAACATATAACGTATACGACTAGTTGAACCAATAATTTTTTATTACAATTTATCAAATAAATAAAACCAAAAGTAATACTTTTCTAATACCAATTTCCTTGAAATATTATAATTTAGGGTAAACATTGACCGTAAGACATAAATATAAACAAAAACCATAACTAAAATGTAAAAAACCTAAGCCAGTCCATGTTAATCTTATTGTCTTACTCCACCACCACTCATGCTTGGACTTTGACCCAGGTAACTTATGTCTGGACTACCTCAACCTCTGCCCAGGTGCCATACCCACCTAAGTCAACACGTGGCTTCTGGCAAAGTGCCTAAACCACACCCATACCCATCGTTGTCTGCCTCCCATCAGATTCACCAGATGGGAAATGGTAGCACTTTGGTTGCCCATCTGGACCTTCAGAGAGGTACCTAGAATTTCGTGGGGATTGTGCAATAAAAATGCAACGTTTATAGCTGGTCGCTGTCGTAGCCTTGCTGTGGTTTCCCCGCAGCCACGTTCAGTCCACCTCAAGCCCCATGCCTCCATTTGCCACTCTCCAATGGAAACTGTAACACACTAACACTCCATTTATGCACAGTAGGTTTAAAATGGAAAATTTTGCTTAAAAATAAATGTTACTTAAAAGGAAAAAGGAAAAATGTAAGATAATAATTTAATTGGTAATTTGTACTATACTTTAAATGTAATTTTAATTTAAAATATTTTTAACTAAAAGTAATACAATTATAGGACTTTTTTGAGTCCTTCTTTTCAAAGTTATTCCAAGAATCCCTGTAAATATACTTTCCCTCTCCAGCTTAGAACCACTGTGTGTCCGTTAAGTCTTGACCTCTGCGAGTGGCCATTAACGCTTTTTTATCTGTTCATAAATTTTAATTTTGGCAAAATACTCCAAGTACGTGCCCGAGCCCCTCACCGCTTCCCTTTGCCTTTCAACTTGAAACGAAGCCACCATAATTCTTTGACCAGCTTTCGGAGTGGGTCCGGGCCTGGGCTCAAGTCAGGGTCCGGGTCTTCCCTTCGTGTTTGCCTGGTGTTTTCATTTTGGCCAAGAGAAATATGACTTGGTGGCTGCCTGTGGCCGTGCAGTTTTCCTTCAGCGTCTTTGAGTCGAGGACCCGTAACCTTATTTCGCCAGCGAAGCATCCTCGTCGCTGGCGGGCTTGTTTATCGTCCTTTGCATCTCATTGAGCTCGCCTGCTCCCGCCCACTTACACTTGCCTGCCTCACAAATGCTTTTCCGGTATCTCAGAAGGGGACGGTATAGGGTAGAGACTTTGCGGGTCTTGGTCCCTGTCTTGCCTTTTTCCCCGTCTTGCCTGACTCCTCCGCACTTTTCAGTTTTCCATTGCATATTTAACCTAATTAAAATGAGTTATGTGAGACAGGTGGGGAGAGCGTGTTAATCCTTGACCTGCTGACTTTGCCGGAGCTCATTTTACCAGTCGCCCAAGTGGCGCCTTGAGCTGAAGATGTTTCGCTTTGCTATCACACAAAATGTTTACCATTCGTTTTAAATGTTTTCAACGTTTTTCTTTGCCGTTTAGATATGGTCTGGTGGAGAAGTCTTGCCTGGCAATTTGAAATTGGATTTTTAAATAGAAGAAATATGGGAAAAGATGAAGTCTAGATGATGAATAAATGGTAGTGACTTTAGAGTCATTTTCCTCTTGAACAAATTGATTATTCTTAAAGCTGTCATATTCAAAATATCAATAATTAATGTTGTAATCAAAGTAGTAAGCTGTGTTTTTAGTTCAAGTATTGTTTGTGGGATATTTTAAATAAAACTTTCTTAATCAGTTATAAAAATATAAAAGTATTTGCATTCTTTATAAGGGAAAATTTCGATTGAATAAAATTTCCTTGAAAATATAAGTCACCAGGGTGTCAAAGTCACCTTCAACCATGCGGAAAAACTAGCTTAGCCACTTACAGCTACGCACTTACATCTACACACTTACAGCTCCCTACACCTTCAAGTTACCTTTACCTTTCTCTAACCTTTATCCCCTGTATGTTATCATTGCAGGTATGTTAATAGAGCCAACTCTCTCCTCAACAAGTGGATCTCCTTCTGGGCCGGACAAGGAGCAAACAATGACCAAGAGCGAAGAGCCAAACTAAACTAATGAATTTATGTACGAGGTGCAAGGTGCAAAACGCACAGGGCCGGGCAAAGGCTCTCTAACTGAAAGTACTTAAGCCCATAAAATACTCAAGCCGTGAACATGTGGGGAAAATTACAAAGAGCGAGCCGGAAAAGGCGCACAAAAATCCGGAATCCGGCACGCAAGCAGGGGAAAACCTAAGCAGAGAAAAGAAAAAAAAGATGGAGGGACAGATACTCGACAGAGTAACGAAATCCTAAGTAGTAGGCATTACACACAAAGACACTGGGAGAAAAAAGCTTGAATAGGTTATTGAAATAACCTCGGAAAAGCTAAGAAAAACTATTGATTAGATCTAGTTTTTCCCCTTATTTTTCTTAATAAATTTCCTATATTTTTAAATAAATAGTTAACCTAGATATTTTTGGTAATTAGTAATTTTTGATAGGTTCTTTTAATATCCAGTTGTCACTCTTTTTCTTCTGTGCACCCTTAAACCTCCTACAGTTTTCTGAAAAAGTCGCAGTCACACAATTTGCCATTGTGAGTTTAGGGGGCGTGTATATATATGGTAGGGAGCGAAGGTCTTACCCTTGCCCCGGGGAATAGGCAGCCAGCCACTGATTGAAAAGAAAATTACGGGCAAGTAGTTGGCCGGGTGGTCGCCAGATGGTCTCGACAACGACAACGACAGCGGGACACGGTGACGTCTGTGCTGCTGCTGCTGATGAGCAGCATAAATGTCCTGCGGAAGGGCAGGAACGAGAGGAAACGGAAGCAAGCGGCGCCGCCAGTGGGACCAGCAGCAGCCTTGTGCTCCGGAAGTGGTAAAAGCCAAGGGGGCCAGGGGGTTCTCCATGCTCAATGCTCCAAGCCATTTGCATTTAAGAGTACACATTGAGATGTCTATGCCCCTAGACAGCATCCGCTGATGGCAACTGTTTCTTTCTGCTCGAGAGAACAGGTTTCCTTTTTCACATTTACTGTGGTTTTGACAATTCTTCACTCTTAGCTCACATTTTTTACATATATCAAAATCATTATATAAACTAGTTAAATCGATTTTAAATTGAATTCTGAAATTTGTAAAAATATTATTTAATTTTCTATATATTTTCGTGTCTTTAACCTCATTTTATCCCACTGTACTGCCAGTGGAGCTGGCTAAAAGGGGCTTAAAAGGCGTGGAGCACGTTGTGGATATTAAGCATGTCCTTAAGCATAAAATGTCAATAAGTGCACCCAATCGATGCTAAGCAGTTTACATTGCGACAAGCTACTAAGGCACCGTCTTGCCACTTTCCAGTGCCCTCCTGCCTGCCAATATCCTTCGATTTTGAACAGGAACTTTGCTAACAATGCAAAGAACTCGGAAGAGCACAATCACACACACATACTTATACATGCTTGAAGCTTATCTTTATGCAGTCGTCTCATATTTTCCGATAAACGTATTTGAAAAGGCGAATTTTCGCTAAAATTGCACGGGTATCAAATTGAGCTGAGGAATAAGTGGATGATCAGTGCAGCTTTAAAGGTGAAATTTATATATTTTCAAATTATTAAAGCTTAAAGCTTAATTATTATATTAACTGAGCTAAGTGGTTTCTTTTATACTTTTTTTGGATTTAAATTAATTAGAAAAGTGTCATAAGTTTACTACATTGAACTAATATTAATTATTAATTGCTATGAAACTGATGTATTGGGTAATTTAACCATTTTATTACCTCTGTATCACCCTTTTATCAAGTATTTTTAGAGGGTTTACCCAATACATTTCATAAAAGACCTCTATTTTCGTCTATCGATACTGTCTTATCCGCATGTCACTCACTTCCGAACATTTCTAATTTCGTTGTAAAAACAAAGAAACACTTTTCTTATCAGCTTGTTGTGGTATCTACAAACACAACACAAGTCTGTCAGGCCTCTCAACTTAAATATAGCCTAGAGTTGGCCAACGAATTCAGTTCGTTAAGTTCCGGAAGAGCTGACGGTCTGACCGAGAAAATGAGAGGTACTAAAAGCCGAGTCAGATATGTGCTGGAAGACTAAAGATAGCTCACCGTAGTTCCGCAATGTCACATCCACTTGGTCTTTTTACTGGCCTACTTAACCAGATGCCAGGCTTACTCGTTGGAGGAGAAGTGCCGACTCTTGGCTGGAAAGGACTATATAGGAGATCCCAGCGACTGCCAGGGCTGGGCTTATTGCCAGGACAACAGGCTCATCCATCGAAGTAGCTGCACGGAGGGCAAGCTGTACAATTTCAGAGATGGAACCTGCAAGAATGCCATGGAGACAAAGTGTTATTCCAACCTGGATGAGATCTGTTCCACCCTGCAGCCGGGTGACTATGCTGCCGATCCGGCCAATTGCCAGCGATTCGTCAGCTGTGAGGCCAGAGAGTATGCCTCCGGTGGTGACTGTGGCGAGGATCAGGTGTTCAGCAACAAGCTGCAAACCTGTGTGGCAGAGGTCGCCGGCTGCCCGCAGAACAACATCTGCTCCCACATGAAAGACGGCTTGCTTATGGCGGATCCCCAGACCTGCAACAAGTACTACAAATGTCACAATGGTTTTGCCACCGCGTTGAATTGCTCCGCTGGTCGGTACTTCAACAGAATCACAGGTCACTGCCAGTCCTGGTTGCCGGAACACTGCTCCAAGGATGACGAAACGGTGCCTATTACGCCGCCTTCCAAGGATTCACATATCTGCTCCAAGTACTATCAGGCGGATAGATCTGGAGAGCAGCGCTTTTCGGATCTTATGACCTGCTTTGGTTACTACACCTGCACCTCTCAGTTCGACGTGGGCGAGTGGAACAGCTGTCCCTGGGGCACTCACTTTCTGTGGTGGAGCGAAAGCTGCGGTTCGCCAGAGGGCATTAGCTGCTCCTACAATCGCTGTGGGAACATGAACCGGCTGATGGTGGCCACCATTAACACGGGCTGCCGGGAGTACACCGTCTGCCGGGATTATCGCTCCACGAAATCGGAAAAGTGCCCCGAGGATTATCCGTACTTTGACGAGCTTACTGGTCAGTGTAGCCGGAAATTTCCCAATCACAGGGTGTGCTATATGGATGGTTGAGGGATCATCGAAGTAGGGTTTCCTGGGAGCTTGAGTTTTACTAATCTTACAATATAAGACATTTTTTAAAGCCTCTGCTGAAATGTTTTTTAATATTTACATAAATGTTATTTTATGTTAAAAGTAATTGATTAGTTTTCTAATGATATCTAATTATGATAAGTGCCTGAACAACTCAAAACTCGTCTCCTACAAGAGACATATTTTGGTTGAAGTCTCCCTGTCCTGCCAGAAAATCAAATGAATCAACGAAAAATTCAAATATTCGCTGCTCTTGGGGACTGCTGTCTTTATGAAATACCCTTGAGGGGGTGGGTGGCGCAGTAAACGGCCTTAAAGTGGGTTGGTTGGCATGGCTGCAGGGCACACCAGTCAGCCCAATGACGAGGCACAACAATACGTCGCGTCATTGAATTATTATGATTGACTTTTATTACACGGAATCGCAATTTATTTTACTTAACAACAGGCTGCCATCCATGGAGCCACCGAGTGCGGTTAAAAGTAGCGAAAATTTGAATGAAAAGTTGTAAAGAAATTACGTTATTTATCATTTGCCGAGTGGCGGCGACCCAACGACAGGGGACGAGAAAGAGAGGACCCGAGACGTGGCCCAAACCGTTTCCGTATCCGCTCATTTATTTGCCGTACTGTCAAGCGCACACACTCGTACACAGGCAGAAAATATTAAAAATATAAATATGTTATAAATATTATTTAAAAATCTAAAAAAACCAAACCGAGTATCTTTATTCTAAGACCATTTAAGTTTCGCTTTAGATATTATAAATAAAATATTTAATCCTATGAATTTTCATTGAACATTTTCTCTTTGTTTTCCCATATATTGAGGCCCTTTCCCTCTTAGTTTGTGCACAGTTAAAAAGTTTTCCGCGACGCCAGCAGAAATTCAAATTTATTGTTTGCGGTTGCCAGGCGGAGCCAATGGCCACGCCCACCTTTAGTCGATGGGCTTAAAATTAGTAGCGTCGTCTTGCTGCGAATCGATGGGCGTTTGATTAACGGTCGCGCCGAGAGATTGAATCGCTTAATTGCCTTAAAAGTGGGTGTGGCTGGAGGGAGAGGGGGTTGGAAAGCCGCGAAGGCACAGGCCTGAGCAGGGGGAATTAATGGCAGGATAAAAGTCGTGACTATCCTATTACACACGATGTAGCGGGCTCAAGGCAGTAAGACGTTTTGGTTCTGCCATCACTTACCTTTAATTAGCTAATTCCCTTTAAGGTCTTGGGGCCCCCTCAATTGTGGTTCGGGGATTACCCGATGGCGCACTCCGGGGATTAGAGTTTAGTAATTGCTGTAGAGGACTTTTCGGCTTTTGTGCCCTTACAAGTAGAAAGGCAAAAGAAAGTTGTCCCGCGGAAAGTTTCTGTGGAAAAAAGGAGGAAGTAAAGCGGCCAAGAAAAGTAATAGGGATATATTTATGTTATCTTTCAGCTAACTCTGCACTTATATTTATCAGCTTAGCCAGGAAATTCACTTCACTTTGATGGGAGGATTTATAGTGGCTATAAAGTAGGTGTTACTTTGGAAACAGTCCTCCCACTTATGCAATTTTATTATTAATTTAAATTACACATAATCCTGGTTTTCATCAAACTAGCTTACATGTTTATTACATTTTTTAGAACCACAATTAAAATTAATCATAATTAATATGTGACATTTTTATTCATGCATCTTTTGTACATAAAAATAAACCATATTAAATCTCATTAACGTTAAGCCCTCAGCTCAGACTGGCTGGTTTTTAATCAATTTCCATAGAAATGCCTTTGTTGCAGGCTTTTCGTTCTTCGTCATTTTCCCCATTTAAAAAATAATTCAGACTCATTTAAGGATGAATATTATGCTGCAGTCGGGAAAGGACAAAGGCTGGCGGGGCCAAGCAGTGCAATTCAATGGGAGCTTGCACCATCAACCGCAGGCTGCGACATTCCAGTGTTAAGCGCTTTCTTTGGATGGCAGTGAAAACCGCACAAAGCCAAGCCACCCAAGTTACCCTCGATTCCGGCCGGGTTTACTCAATGCAGTCAGGGCCAATGCCACTGCCACTGGTACTCCTTCGCTTCTTTTGCTCCTGGCTCCTGGCTATGCTTTTGTTTTTCCAACTGGTTGACTGCGGCCACCTTCTCCTTCGGAGAGAGAGAGTTGCCATTGAAAGTGGTTCTCCTTGCCTTGGCTGGGGTTGTTTGTATGCGTCTGCTGTGGTTTATGTCCTCGTTGTTGACATTTAGTTGACACACACAACACGGATCCCTCGGATGCCCCTCGTCCCGGCCAACAGGACTTCCGGCAACACAGCAGAGTCGAGGTCCTGGCAATGGATCATCGGCGCCTTTGTTTACACATCGCCACCGAAGCTGGCAGCAGTCCTCGTCCTCCTGATTGTTCCTCGTCAGCTGGTGCTCTCTCATTGTTGCTAACTAGAAAGGCTAGAGCCGAGTCCGTTCTTGCCCATCAGAATGTCCTTCGGTCTACAGTGGTTGAAGCTGTCGAATTCTTTGTAATAATATTTTGTATGAATTTTAAAGAAATTTTTGCCACAAGAAATAAATCGCAATTTTCGCTTTTGTTTACCCGGAGAAACTAGAAGTTTCTTGGCAATAAAAACTAAAAACTCAAGGACTCTAGGAACCTTTTTCCACTTCCTTTTTTTGGCCTAAAAAAAATCACTGATTTCGGCTACTGTCTTTAAGTTGGTGTAAACAATTTTTGAAAGGTTATTTTTGCTTGCCACAGACGCGATCCGCACTTTGTTCCGCTTTGCACTTCATTTGCCAGCCCATCCTCCCAGTTGATTCTTCTCCTGCTAGTCGTCATAGTCCTCATAGTCATCCTTCTTGGGGCAGTAAATTCTGTTTACCAGCTCGACTGTCGTTGTCTTTGCAGTGGATGCATCGGTGGGACAGCTATTTGTTATGTCGTTTGACTGAAGCTGCTGACATTTATCCAGCAGCCGAAGGAATATGCAGAGGAAGCCTCGCCTTAGATATTAAATCGCCTCTAGGCAATAAGAGACTGCAGTGCAGTTTTTGTTAGATATTTCAGCCTTGAAAATATATAGTGACAGAGAGGAAGTAGTATTGGATTTCATGGAAGCTCCATTAATTATTTAAAATTTGTCCAAGACTTGTTAAGGCTAAGAGCAGCTCTAAATGCATTTCCTCAGGGAAGAAATCTGCCTTAAAGAGCTATTTAAAATTTATTTAAAATTTATAGAGGGACTAAAAACGAAAGAACAAACCTCAGAGATAAAAAAGGTATAAAACCTTTTTAATCTGTTATTTGCATAAAGTTTTTAAAGTTTATTTATAATTATGTTTTTAGTTATTCCACCAAGCATTACAACTATGAATCTTTTGATGCTTTAATCCAAGAGGCATCATCTGCTCCCTCTAGCTTCTCGTTTACTTTCTCCTTCCTCCGGGAGCAGGTCTAAATGGTTTTCGCCTGGACTTGGAGTCAACAATAAGTACAGATTGTCGCTTGAGGAAGTTACGTGAGGGCACTTCGTTATCGTCGTCCGTGGTGGCCACTGTGGGGAGGCAATGATTTTAGAATAACCAAGGGCTTGGCACGAACTGGGACTGGTATCAATCTCTTACCCGCCGCCGGCGCCTGTTCCGGTGAGGATGAGGAGGTGCCCGCTGCCCGCTGAGCTCGTCCGGCAAAGAGATTGTAATAACACATGGGCATCGGTTGGGGCTTCTCGCCCTCGGGCGCAGATGGGGACTTGGGCTGCTCCGATTTGTACATCTCCTCCTCCTCCTCGTCGACAATGTCCAGCTTGGGTATCTCAAATGGTGGCACATCCTCGGTCTTGCTCAGCTCCTGACAGCGCTTAATCTTTAATTTGAGTATCTACAGGAGAAGGAGGAAGAAGGAATTTTTCTGTAGAGAATATTTAATAATTGGATAAGCAGAACTTCACCTCAATCATGTCCTCATCTACAGCAGTGTGGGCCAGGAAATTGGGCAGTTCGGCCACGCTCACATGGAGCTTTCTCTCGGGTATCTCGATATTGCTCTCATCCACTTCCTGGACTTTGAAGATAATCTCGCAAATGCGTTCTTTCAGATACTTTAGCACACCCATTGATTTGTCCGCCTCATCGGTGTCCAGCTTGCGGTCCTGCTCCTTGGCTGTAATGCTGTTCTTGATTTGCTCGATGACCTCCTGGTTGCTATATACATTTATAGTTTACAAATTAAATTAAATTAAATATTTTATAAATATTTTTATACTAACACTTCACTCTCCTTGACATCGGAGAACTTGGAGGCCTCCAGTTCGCTGGTCAGAGCCTCGCGTTCTGCCTCCAGATTGGCCTTCTCTGCCTCGGCTGCCTTTCTTAAATAATTCAAACGGGCAGCAGACTCCTTTTGGGCACTGAAACGCTCGAAGACCTCAAAAGGCGAGGTGGCGCCAGAGGCCTCCATCAACTGCTTGAACAGCGACTCCATATCGCTGGTCACACTCTCCAGCTGAGAAGCCGGCTCCTCCTCGCCATTCTCCGTCTTGGCCGTGTGCTGCCCGTCACCGGAACTGGAACCCACGCTGTCCTGATGGATCAACGTCTTGGTTTCCGCAAAGAGTTTGCGTCCTATACGCTCTAATTCCAGCTTGCGGGCCTCCACTTGTTTCCGGAAGTCGAGAGCCTGTCGCTCGCGTGTCTTCTGTGAAAGATTGGCCTGCTGCTCCTGCCTTTGCAGGATTACTTTGGCAGCATCCCGCATCTCCACAGCCTCATTGTGGACCTGCTGCAGCCTTTCGACCTCTGCTTTTTGGTCGCTAAGCGATGCCTCCAGTTCCCGCAGACTCCGCTCGAAGCGCTCGGCATCCGTCATGAGGGATGCCTCAATGGATCGGTACTTCTTGCGAATGTGCTCCGCCTCCATCCACTGGACATTGGTGCGGTGGATCTCGTTCTCAAGTTGACAAACGAGCTGTTTGGGGTTTTTTTTTAAAGAATTATAAGATTACTTATTTAAATACCTATTTATTACAATATCCCACCTTCCTATTGGCATCCTCCTCCAGAGTTTCTGGTGGCTTCTCGCCCAAATTCTGGTTTTGGGCCTCCTTGTTGGCCAGCAAACCACGATATTTCTCCACCAGCTTGGTAAAGTGTTGCTGCCGGCTTTTGAAGCGATGCCGCAGCAGATCCATTTGCTTTCGGCTCTCGGTGATCTTGAGATCGGTGAGGAAGATGGCATCGTCAGCATTTTTGGCTCCAACAGGATACGTAGCCTTGCCCACAATTAGGGTGGGCGTGCAACTCTGCGCCCGGCGTTGCTCACCACCCGACTCCTTGATAACCAAAGGGCGCTGGACGGGATTGCGGAGGCGACTTGCCTTTACAGTCAGCTCCTTGATGTCCTTTTTCAGGGTGCCGATAGTGTCGCAATTAATGCGGTTTTGTTTCTGCCACTCGGCTGCATTGGCAGTCTTTTGGCCCTCTGAAAGTGATGGAACTTTAATGAAACAAACACTTGACTTGGGTTGATTCAAGGACACTCACCTGCCAACAAAATGCGCTTTTTAATCTCATTTATTTGTCGGTTTAACTCGTTCAGCTTGTCGGATTCCATGGCTTCATCTGTGTGCTGTTTGCTTTGAATAAGCGTTTAAAGGATATTTCTCCTGTGCTTTTGTCCTTTGTTAAATCGATGTGGAAGTTGCTGTGGCAACGATTAAATCAACAGTGGGGAAAGAGATTGGTTGCTAGCTTTTTCTTAGGGAAATTAATATGAATCTATGCAAATTAACAAGGAAGTATAAATAAGGATTTTAATCTAAAATTTTATATTTATATACCCACTAGAAATACCTCTCAAAATTTATCCAAAACTCAATTATATGTAACTATATCGTCGCCTTTCGCTAAAATTTGAAATATTTTTAATAATTACAAAATATAATCAAAGCTTACAATAATTTGTGGCTAATCAGAAATCAATTTAAAATCGCGGCAAATTAAGAAAACGAGCCTTTATAACCAGATTTCGCACCCTGGCAACGAACTCGGCCGCATGACTAGGCTCCTGGAAGGTGCACACAAAGTGCTCCGGAGTCCCCTCCGAACAGAAGGCATAATTGAAATTAAACCAGCCGCAGCTATTCGTCCTGTTGGCCTTGTAACCAATGTGCCAATTGCCATCGATGCGGGTGTAAACGAGCAGGAAACTAGAGTCCTTCTCGTGGAGTAAGATGTAGTACAGGCCATGGCGTTCCAAGATCTTGATGTCACCCGAGTAAGGATGTTTGTTGGGGCCTGGTAAGTTACCCGCCTGTTGTACGCTGCTGAAACGGAACAGTGTTACAGGCTTGCTGAATAGAATCCTGCCGCTGCTCTCGATGTCCTGCCGATCGGCCATCGGATGGTGTATATTCATGATTTCACGGGAATAGTTATTAGTTACGCTCAAGTTGGTCTTGATGCCGGAGTCCTCGCTATCGCAACTACCACTGGAATCCCAATCTGGGGCATTTCTGGACCATCCATCGCTGGCATCTAGCTTGTAAAATAATCGTATTCTCTCAGGATTTACGAGAGGATTTCGTTGAACAGGTTCTCCGCCGGCCAAGGCATTTTCTGAAAGTTCCCCATGATGGTTTTGAAAAATGTTTTGCTTGAATATCTTTGAGTAGGTCAAGGTGCCTTTGCTTCTTTCCAACTGCTTTGGTTGGGTTTCTTCTGTGAATTTTTAGTTAATATAGAAAGAGCTCTAATGATTCTTGTGTCTACTTACCCTGGCTCAATTCCTTTAATTTTTTGAATAGATTTATGCACAGAATTAGACTCTTCAAAGCCCTGCAAGTTTGCTGTTTAATCTCCTCATTGTGCTGGATCTTTTTCCACTCTCTGTCGCCAAAACAGTGCCCCACACTAGGCCTCCATATGGGTTTGAGACCAATCAAGGAGTTAATGAAACCAATACCACGACTTGGCAGAGGTTTTGACGTTGGTTCCTCGATCCGTATGGGTTCTTGGACAATGGTGATAGGTGATATAGGTTCCTCAATCACTGGTATTGTTACTAATGGTTCTGGAGTGTTTTCCACGCCTGAAGATTCTTCCATCTCGGGTGCTTGGGATACTTCGAGATTCGTAAGATTAATATCCTCAAATTCGAAGGAAAGTGCATCTTTGATTTCTGCCACTTCTATTTCTTCTTCAATTTTGTGAAAACTTATTTCTTCTTCTTGTGAAGGACAAGTTTCCATTGTCTCTAATACCTCCATTTCCAATACTTTTGTCTCTTCAACGGTTGCCAAGTTTAGCTCTTTTAAGTGTCCAGCTTCTTCCCGGGCGCAGTACATCTCAAGTTCCGGAATAAAGTAAGGGACTGGGCATGCATCATCTTCGGCCACACGTTCCAACTGGGAAGATGATTCAAACCCAAGGAAATTCCTTACCTTGCCTTGTTCCCTTAACCTCCCCATGATATCCATGTGGGTCATAAGGGATTTCAATGGAACGTCGGGCAGGCTATAGTCCGCTTCATAGGATTCTTGCAAGATGGATGCCGTGCAGCGCTCGACATCTGATTTTTGGGTCTGAACATCGACCGAAATGGGCTTGACTTTGGGGACATTTGATGGTAAGACCTCCCTAGTAGGGGCCTCGCTTTGCCCAACCACATTGTATCCATCCACATGGCTGTCCAACATTGTCTAAGCGGGATGTGACTATCGAAAAAAAACCGAACTTTAAATAGACCGAGATTTTGTACCAAAATGACTTACCGATTTACTGAGTGTTGAGTCGATTTGAAGGTTACACCAAAGTGTTTAGATTATGACAGGTTTTTCTTAGATATCTAGGTTTTCAGGACAATGACAATGTGTCTTCCGGCCCTTGTATTTTCTGTCAAAGCTGAAACTGTCTCCGGAACACGTACGTCCATCTATTGTAATCGTATCTTTTCATTAGCCTCACTCGCAGGTCAGTTTTCTAGAGATGAAAATGTATCTGGGAAATGCTTCCGCTCATTGTCCGGCCCCTGCGTCTAATTACAATTTGCTTTCTGTCCAACGGTGCGTATGCGTAATCATAGAGACGGGAAAAGGAAGCTGAAGGATGGGCTGTAGGGGGAATGGGAATCAAATTACATTGACAACAACTTTTCGCTGGCTTTTCAATAGACTAGAGAAATGAGAGCTAGAAAACAAAAAGCACCTGAAGGCCAAAACAAAACATTTGCCCGGTTTTGCGTTGTTGTTTTCCAAGTGAGATGAGTATACCAAATGTACGTATACATATATATATATGGAAGACCGCTGGAGCCCTAGCCCCTAGCCCCGCAGCTAAACAAATACGCGAGGGACCAGGACCAGGACCAGCCCAGGCAAAGCAAATAGCGAAGCAAAAATATTTGAATCTGAAATATGCATAAAATGTGGGAAAACGAATTCAAAGCACTGCGAAATAAATAAATAGCGAATGCAAACAAAATGGGAACAGAAAGCGGAAAACAAAAAAAAAGAGGAGAAAAAAAACAACCAAGAAAACTTCCCATCTCGAAAAGTAAAACAATCAAAATTTGCGCACCATTAAATTTTGTATTGTACTCGTTCCATCGCACTTCCCCCCGGGTTTTGCAATTTTCATTCTCATTTTCCTCGTACTCTTCCATATGTCCCTGTGAGTGTGTGTGTGGGTTTGTGTGTCCCAAATCGACTTTCTCCTCAATGTTCAAAGTCTTGATTTCCGCAACTCAATTTTATCCCACCAAATTCTTAGATTTTTTCCCCCATTTTCCCCAGCTGCAGTCTCTGGAATCCTTGTGAATATTCGGTTGACATTTATATATTTGCAAAACCGATCAAAGCGCCGAGACAGCGAAATGTCAGTTATGATTGCTACACAAATTGGCCTTGATTTATGACTTTGTTTTCACAGAATCCAACTAGAGTCTGTGTTTTTACAAAATCCAGCTAAAGTCGCATTGATACGGATCACAAATCGTCGACGAAACTGGATTATGCTATTTGCTCTTGGTAGCCTTAAAATGTCCCCATTTTTAATTAGTTTTCTGTAAATGGCAAACACATATAATTATTTGTTATTTATTTATTTGCTTTATTGCTGCGGCTTGGCGCAATCATAAATTAGCATTTGTTGAATATTAATTAGGGGAAAATGCAAATGTGCAAATATATAGTAATAATTTGTAGTTTTACTTTGTGAAAAACGTGATGTTTTGGTTTAATTTAATAATTTAATAAATCTACAAACAAAGAATTTAAGAAATCTATAATCAGAGAGTTTAATGAACCTGACTAATGTTAAATAAATAATAAATAAATTGAAATTAATGAAAATGAATATTACATATTTCTTGTAATTAAATCAGCTATCAAAAAATCCGTCTTCCTTAAGTTTACAAATATTTTAAATTTCATACAATAACAACTAACCTTTTTTAATGCATTTTCTGAATAGAGATGCAAGTTTCTTATTATAAAATAATTAAGTAGACTGAAATTCATAAGGTTAATTAAAACTAAAGCCAAACTTTAACCAGAATACCTAGTTTAAGCCCTATTAATTTTCCAGTTAGCCACAACGAATATATATTACAACCATGAGGATTACATTACATGGTAATTTGCAGAGACAACTGAAATATTTAGCTCTTGGTAACTCAACCCCTCGGGTCCTTGAGTTATCTTTCATCTTTGAAGTGTGCAAGGCAACCTGGTCGAAAGGTAGTACCAGACCTGGCCCAGGTGTGATATTCTGCAGCTGCCAGGACAGGCTTCGAGCCCATTAAAACTAATTACTCATAATCATTTTGGCTACTGCTTGACTGCCTCCAGGACACAGCCTCCCATCTCCATGGCCATGGCTCCTGGCGAGCGACAGTCCCAGCTGCCACATATACACATTGAAATTAATTAAAATTAAAATGAAAGTGGAAATGGAAATGGAAACGGAGAAGCGGATGGGAATGGGGATGTAGCAATGGAAATGGAAATGGAGCCCCGCGATGCTGCACATGTGGCAGCAGGCTCAAGTCCTGGTTGATTTCCATGAAAACGACTCAACCGCAGATGATGGGGAAATTAGTGGCCGGGGAAAGAGCAAAAAGGAGATGAGTCAAATGTACAAAGTCAAGTGCGCGGCGACCGATGAAAAATCTCTGCGAAATTAATTAAATTCTGTAATTTAAGCTCAGCCCGGGCCCGGGCGGCCTGCAACTGGGTCCTGGTTGGGGTTTTGGGGGGGTGAGCTTTTATCATGATTATGTTGTGTCACTTGGCAGCACATCTGCCTGCCTCCCGCAGGATCCTTGTACCTGGGTTCAGTGACCTTTCGTCCTGACATTTACTCTGCTCATGCAGGGCTATGCAGGCCAGGCCAATGTAGGCACTGGACACTGAGGAAAGTTTAAAAAGATAGTTGAAACATAAAAAAAAAACTAATATTATATTTATAAATTAATTTTCAAAATTAAACAAACTATTTTTATGATATTTTTAATTATTACTTTTTATAAGAGAAATATTTTTTCAAAAGCCCTTTTTTAAAGTTTTTTTTCTTAGTGCTTATATTTGTTTTGTGAATTGAAGTGTGTGTGTGTGTGTGTGTGTGTGTGAGGAGGTCCTGCAGGCAGAGCCTTCATGTTGCCGCCGTTCGCCAGATGGCGCCACCTTTGCAGGGCTGTCAAGCGCAACGCAGCGCAAAATTATTCTAATTAGAGTTCCCCAACCCTAGCCCCCATCTACCGCCCTTCCATGATATCCCTTACAGTGCCTTTGAAAAGTTATTCAGTTAGACAGGGGAACGGGACAAAAACCCCTGTCTGTGTGTATGTTTCTAATTTGGCTGTTTTATTCTATATCTTTTTTTCGCTCTAAGCACTTTAGTTTACCAGTAGTTACACTCCCTTCAAAGAGCTAATGTGTGTGTGGATAAGAGCTTTGCGGGGAAAAAAGTAATCAGATGTGTGGGTTAATATACGTTTAAGTTTTCTGGATATTCTTGTGGCCTTAAAAAGTTGCCCAACGTAGTTTTCCGTCTTTTTTTTATGTACAGAAAAGTTTAATATTAAAGTTTAGTGGGATATAACTTCCAAACCTACTAACATGGTTTTGATTTCTGTTTATCTTCTTTTATTTTTTTAATTTTAAAAGAACTTAGTAAATAAATAAGGGCAACACAATAAATTCTTAAGTTAGCTACATTCATCAGCCCATACTTTTGCCTTTTTTTTTCTTCTAAAATTAATGCTACAACATTTTAATAAAATATGAAATTATTTGCAAGGGCGCCAGACCTGCACCATCTGCTCAGCTAAAATTGCGATCCAATAATTCGTCACGTGGACCAACAGCTGAATAAAACATGGTTTCTTCCCGGGTCTTGACAAAATGAAATTTTTAAATGTGATGGCAAGCGGAATTTATGTAGTAATCTCACGGCACGGAGACATATTCCCGTGCCCAGGACTTGTGTAAATGATTTATCCTAAGCCGCATAACAAAGGCGGTGAGAGCACTTCCTGTGTGCGTGATCCTGCAACCTCATCCTCCTCCTCCTCCATAATTCACCCAGCAAGCAGCGAGGAGTGGCAACATGTGCTTAATAGTTTAACGCTTCGTGTGCCACTTAGCTGGGCCATGAATGCCTATTCTGGCAAGGAGTCACATCTCTCCCTTTCCGCTACTCATGGTGGTAATGTTGCCCTGCTGCAAGAGGAGCTGATGGGTGCAGTCTGTCAGCAGGAACCCATCCTTTGGCGCACTCATTTTTCGTTCCAGGCGTTAGCAGATCCATCTCAGTTACAAATCCGCGACGGTGATGCCCATGCCCGCCGCCGTTTTGTTCCATTTCGCAAACCAAGCCAATCTGCTCTCGTTGCGCTCCATGAAGGTGGGAAGGACTCCGGGCAGAGTCCTGGTTTCCGTGCCCATCTGGCATCGCGTGTCGCATGATGTATGACATTTTTGCGCCTCATAAACACCTGTCCTCTAGCCCAGATAATAACAAACACTCACACTAAAGAAAGGGAATCGAAAATTGTAAAGAAAATAAATTGTGATACAAAAAAGAAGCTCTAACAAAGGGACAGAGTTCTTAATGTTGTGCCTCTAGCGCAGTCTTTATTTTTTAATATTTACAACATAAAAGGAAACTAACTTCAGAAGCCGAAATTTGTATACCCTTGCAGTTTGCCATAGGATCTAGCAAAGTATCAAAAATCGATACAAATTTATATAATCATATGCTCTTATTTAAATCCTCAATTTCTGCCAGTGCAGCTGTTCCACCTGCCTGCTCTTGCTCTTTTTTGTTTTTGTGCATCGTCCAGACAGCCCCCTTTTGCAGGGGGTGGGCTCTACTATTTGAGGCCCGGGGAGGTGCCATGTTGTTTGTTTTTGTTTGCCTTGACGAAATTGGCACGACTGGCGGCTGGCGGCTGGCGGGGCGGGACTGGAACTGGGATGAGGATGATGCCGCCGTGTTGACTGTTTGACTATTTGCTCGTTTACGTTAACAGTGAGCTGACTTATTTTCCTCGGCGTTGCAATTCAAATATGCCGGGAGTTCCTTTACCCACAGCCGGTTGATTGCACGATCCAAGTCAATTGACCTTTGGCATTTGTCGGGGTTTTGTTTGGAAATTCCCCCATTGTTTGCCAGTTGGATGAAATTATTTAGCTTGGAAAAATAGTTTCTGTTGATAATTAATTCCAATCAATTTTATTTAACAAAAGATTAAACAGAGCCACTGTGCCGCTGTGTTTATAAAAACTACCAGAATTAAGGCATTTTTTTCGGTAATCCGATTGCTCAGTTCCATGTGTATTTTCTGATATATAAATAAATATATATATAAAAAATTGTTGATGTTTGTTTGATGCTGACCCGCAGATGTGTCTGCCAAAGAAACATGATAAATTTACATATCCATGTGTGATTTATCGTACCCATTGTGGAATCACTTGATTAATCGGACATAATACTTTATTTTCGGATGCACTGGAAATCTTTAAACTAATTTTGTTGCCTAGTGTAAATAATCAAAGTTTCCCGTCCACTAATTGAATAAGTTAGTTGTTCCGGAACGGAATCTGTGCGGTTATAGCTGGCTTCCTTTCGAGCTAACTAAACTTTTTGACTTCCATTCCATTCATTTGCCAGCATGCTCATCATCATTTGAGCCCGGGCCCGAGCTGAAATACCATTAAAATCACATTTCGATTTAATTTGCATAAATTGAAGCCGAGTCAGCCGCTGGAAAATGAGGCCGAACGGTAGCTCTCCCTCTCTTTGGTCTGAACATAAACTAAAATGCCATTGAAAAGCGATTCAAAATCAATTAGAGAGTGATTTTGCAAAATATACTTATATACTATAGACTCGTATTAAGTGAAATGCTCAGTTGCAGGGGAGTAAATCAAACAAATCGATAATAGTAATGGTAAATTAAATTTATTAATATATTTTAATGTTAAATGCAAATTTTATTAAAGTTTACGATAATTTCGAAATGGATTAATCTAAATAGCGTGATGTTGTGGCAGGTATATCCGAGGGAATTCACTCTCTTTAAATATATTCTTAAATTAAAATATAAAAAATTAAATTACCCATATCAACTTTACCTTAGTTTCATTTATTATTTTAATCAATATATCATATCAGATTTTTCTCCTCAATATACATTTACATCCCTAGCACCAACCCCTCCCCTTATCGGTTGAATTCAACGGGTCCAAGGACATGAGGAAGGATTATGACACTTTTTGCGCCTCGCTGCTCGCATATTCGGCTTTTGCTTTTATTGAGCGAAATGAAAAATTCAATTAAAATGCACACATGCTCCAAAACCCAACCCTAAAACTGGCCAGAGGAACCCGTGCCAGCAAAAAAAAATGGGAGCGGAACGAACGAGGAACCCGGCTCGTTCCTGGCAGCAAAAGAGCAAAAGAACGAAACGAAAAATGTGAAAAATCAGCATAACAAAGTGGGAAAAACTATGAAAATGCATTCGCCCGGCATGGCCGCTTTCACTTTTCTCTTCCTTGTCTTCCCCCCTTTTTTTCTTTCCCTTTTTCCGGGAAGTCTTCCGTCATGCTCCACAGGCCTGGCTGCCGTCCAGCCAGACATACTCATGTGTCCATGTCCAGGAACCTCCTTCGGGGGACAGGCCGGGCCAACACAATATTACATATAGTTACTATAGCAACTCTAGGCCCAGAAAAGGGTAACGGATGCGAGCTCCAGTATGTAAATAGGCGAGGGCTGTAAACACATTTCATTTGCACAAAGAATTAGACCTAGAAGGGGTTCCTGAAAGGGGTCCTGTAAGGGAGAGGTTCTGCTCTGAAACTCACCAAAATCAGCGTTTATTGTTGTCGACCCTTTTTTTAAAGAGCCAACAAATTTTTAAGGTAACAAGAATAGGGTATAAAATGTATAAAATAAGCATTACTATTTGTAGATTATCAGTATAGAATTTTGCTTTAAATTCTTTTGGTTATTTATATTTTCAAGTTATTTATGGTAAGCTACATAATTAAAACCAAAGTAAACTAAATTTTCAAAAATCCTATTCAACATAACAAGGTTTAAATTAAAAACAGAAACATTCCTGAACTGAACTGCAGTGTAACTACCAACTGTATTTATTTTGCCAGACTATATTAAATTTGTTTTCATGCATTTTCCCTTTATTGTTTTTGATTTGGTGTTTACCTTTATTATTTTTGATGTCATGGCATGGCTATTTCTGACACTCTCGTGTTTTTTTTTTTGGCAATTGTAAAATTCGTATATTTAGCGCCTGCAAATAATGCAGCGATTGCAACGAATGTGAGGGAGAGGATGCCGAAATATAAACGCTAATGAAACAAGTGCTTCCATCCCCCCTGAGGCGCCAACACCCCCTTCTCGGTTCCTGTCAGAGTCAGAGTTGATATGGGAAAGCCGGGCAAACAAACTGCAAAGCTGAATTTACGGTTGCCGCTTTTGAATTGACAACTGGGTGGGGAGAGAGGAGGGAGAAGGAGGCAAGGCCGGAACCGGGTATGTCGGTGGAACCCGGTTTTATGGCGGATTTCGACGAAAATATAAAAATAAAATTGGATTTTAGCGTAGATTGTAGAAGGCCGTAAATATTTTTCAATTCACTGGCCCCGGTCTGGGGCTGAAGGATGTAAAGGGGCGCCATACACACACACACACACACACATATGCAAAAGGGGGCATTGATTTCCCTAAGGGGAAAAGGGGTTCCCGGTTCCCGGCTGCCGGCTCTGCGGTTGCGAATCGCGTGCGAATGATTTGGCAGAATTAACTCCCCAACACCGGGCTGCCAACAAATTCGCTGCCGAAGGCGTCGAGCCCCAGGACACGTCCCCAAAACAGCAGGAGGATACCCAGGCAGATGCCGATGCGGAGGAGCAACATGTGGAGAGGGAGGGATTAGGAGCGCCAAAGCCTCATTTGAATGCCGAGCCAAGCGATTCTATATATTTTTTTTTCTGTGCGTGGCCAACAGCAACCCTTTTTTGATCCTTTCAACGGCACCCAGTCCTGGCCTCAAGGCGTTAGATATAAGTTGGTGGAGCCTGCTTAGTCTACCTCAACAAATCCTTCGAAAACTCATTTCGTGTTTGCCGGCGCCAAATTGATTTCATTGCCTGTTTGTGCTTTGTTTTCCTAAGCTAAATGCCTAACAGACTCAATCCTTTCATATCCTGGCGCTCAAATGGAAAATATTCTAGCTGCGGTTGTGTTTTTTGAGTTGAACAAATATATTTATGGAGATTCCTGCGGCCATTTGGTTAGCATTTTGATTGGAATTCGTTGGTCAAGTTCTCAAAACCAAAGGCTAGTCAATTTTTTAAATAAACTAAAGTTTATACTGAAATAAAATAAAAAATAAAATATCAAACTAAGATAAAAATATAGAGATTAGTATTGAAATGTTTATAATTTATTAACAAATATTAGTAAGAAAATTCCAATAGTTAAGCCTTGTTTACTCTCCTTTTGAAACTATCTAAAGGTGAAGGTTCTCTGACAGTTCTCCAGATATTCTAAGGATGCCATGAGTTAATTGTAATCACACTTGTTAGTACACTAGGGATCCCAGATGGCGGGCCGTTTGCTGGGCAAAAGGCTGGCACATTTCCTGGAACGCTTCCACCAGGCAGCCTTCAGCCCCAAGTATCTGTTCTACACCAACATTGGCATCTCGGTGGGCCTCAGCATGGTGGGCGATGCCATGGAGCAGACCTACGAAAAGATGGTAGGCGAGATACCCGAATGGAACCGTACCCGCACCGTGCGGATGGGCATCTCCGGGTTGACGGTGGGCGTGGTGTGCCACTACTGGTACCAGTATCTGGACTATCATTATCCGCAGCGTACCCTTAAGACAGTGATAATCAAGATCCTGCTAGATCAGTTTATTTGCTCACCATTCTACATGGCCGTCTTTTTCCTAACAATGGCCGTGCTGGAGGACACCACCTGGGAAGAACTGAAGCAGGAGATCCGGGAGAAGGCTCTTATACTCTACGCTGCCGAGTGGACAGTGTGGCCTGTGGCTCAGCTAATCAACTTTCTGCTGCTCAAGCCCCAGTATCGGGTCTTGTATGACAACACCATAAGTTTGGGCTACGACATCTTTACCTCACAGGTCAAGTACCGCAAGAAGCCCACCGAGGAGGTTGAGCCTAAGAAGGGGAAATAACAAGAGCAAGAAATTTGCTAAAAATGCTTAATATTTAAATAGTAAAAAATGTGTTGTATATAAAGTAGAATACACACATAAAATCTCCCACTAAAAAAATTGCTAAATTCCCCAGCTCGTAATAAATCATTCCCTATGGCCGAGCATGCTTAAAGAGACACATGCTTTTATTGGGTGTCGACGCTAGCTCAACCTGACACCATGTCCCCGGGTGTCAAGCATCGCTCCCTCGTTTCGGACGATGATGGAAGGTGACCCCAGCCGAGGTAGGCACCCTGAGTCCGGGGTGGGTGACTTGTCAGATGCAGAGCCTCGGCGGACCTTCGTCGAGGGCTGCGAAAGAGCAGATACTCAGCGAATGGTGAATGGCATCGAGGACCGGAGAGGGACACTCGAGCCGTGAGCCCTCGACAAGGAATTGTGTCAAGCATACAAAATAAATAAAGGCTCGGCCCTGGGATAAAAAAAAATGGTAAAAAGAAAGGGAAATCAAGTGACAAAATTGATGTCAAGATGAGCGAGTGGCGGCCCTGCCAGGACATTCACAGCCACATCCAGATGCACAGGCAGACGCCGACCTGGCTTCACGGCCAGCGTCACGAAGGATGTGCACACCCATTCACACACACACACACACACATGTCAACTAATCCAATTTAAATCTCTTAACATGATTTGCCGCTTTCTTTTCATTTTGTTGGATTTTATGCCATTATCCCTTTTGGTCTCCGTGTGTCCTTTTGGCTACCGAATTGCCAGGCACAAGGAGAAGTCAGTTTCTTCTCACAGTGGGTGAAATTTTCAAGGCTCTTGAATATTAATATATTTTAAAGGTGTTTAAAATATTTTAAATTTAAGTAATAATAAATCTAGTAAAATGTCTTGAAGATTCTAAAAGAAAATTCTTTTTAATAAATTTTCCTTTACAAACTTAAAAAAAATGGTCTTAGATTTATTATTCCTGTTACATTTTTCCTTAAGATTATTCTATGAATTTCCTTTCCCCACTGTACATTCCCTGCCAGTGGCAAGTTGACTTCCTGTCTTTACTGTTATCTCTCCCAAGGAGGACACGCCTGCTAAGACCAAGGACACCAAGGACTGCGGCCAAAGGGTTTATTTATTTGGTTTAGCGGCTGCCTCGGTAGCTTTAGTCGCTCTATCCTCATTTTGTGATTTAATTTAAAAGCTCAGTCCCTCTTCCCTCGGCGAAGTCCTTTTCCGGCTAAGGAGTTGTGGGGGCTTTTCGGCACGTGGCCTCGGCTGGGGTCCTTGATGAGTTGTGTATGTGTCTGTGTGTGGTTAAAGTATCCCAAATGAGACTACGTGTTGATGACCAAGTTTGCCAAGTCACCGCCGCTGGCTAACCAAGAAAAAAAAAACGAGTGTAGAATAAAGTTATCAGCAAGTGGAAATGCCATAGCTTGGCACAAACACCAACACTTTGGCACTTTGGCATTAATTAATTAAGAGATAAGTGTGGATATAGAATGTTTTCTTGATAAGGAAATTAATGAAGACAATGGCAGTTATTTAATTATTATTTAGCCTGTAATAATGAATTTACCCCCACTGATATGTCTATTAATCGAAATAAAAACCAGTTAAACCTTATCATTTATAATTTATTAAACTTTAAAGACTTCCTGTAGCTACAATTAGTTTAACACCCTTCGGCAGTTTGTACTACGATCGATATCTGGTGCCGCTGGGTCGAGTACCCCTGGGCTACTCTCATCTGGCCCGGACGCCCATCCATCCACCCATCCTTCCATCCGTCCGGTTCAGGTGGGGCCCAGCCACGTTCAGTTAATTGGCACTCAGAGCCTTCAAACAGAAATGCCAATGATGTTTGTCTACGAAATTACCCCGGCGAGAGGGAGTAGACCCTACGAGAACCCTGCCTGTCATGTGTGGCCTGCTGCGTACGACGGAGGGCTACGTCCAAACTCCGGACTCAGGGAGTCTGTCTAAGGGGCTCCGACCATAACCTATGCCCTCATAATGGCATTGTGTGCGAATACAGAGAGCAAAAAAAAAAGTGAATTAAATAGGGAAAGTAAACCTAAGCTTTACTCTTCAAAAAGTTAAAGGATCTTCTTAAGTTCAGAATGATATTTTGAAGTTTTGTTGTTTAATTTAGACTATAATTTTCTTATTTATTTAAAATTTTACCTATATATTTCACTTATCATTTGTTAGTCTCATTGTATCTCTTTATCTTGAACTGTACGAAATGGGTACAAGGATGAAAATGAAAAGAGGAAGCTGGCTGGCAACGCATTGTGCAGCCACATGCCCAGCAGTTATAATTCCATTTGCGATCATAAAAATGTATTACGAGGGTAAGCTGCTCATAACAGGCTACTTAATTAACGAGGTATTCATGGGCCAGCACTAGAGACAGTCCGCCATTGTTTCGCCAAGTGTACGAGGAGTGAACACGGGTGCATACAAGGAACCCCTAACCGCTTTTCGTACTGAAAACGACATAACTGCCTGCCTTCCAAGCACGTGGCATATGTTGTTGCTGCTGCTGCTGCTTCCCCTTCACCATCTTTTGCAGCATAAAAGTTGCGTCAACTTAATTAGCCATAAATTAGCCAGGATTCACGCGTTTTTAACGACTTGTTTGTTGGACCAAAGGGCGGGGTAACCGGAGGGAATGATGGCCCTGTCCCATCACGATGGCACTAAGTCCATCTGTCAGCCAACTTGAACGAGTTAATTTATTTATCTTGCCGCAGGAGCATCGCCCGACCCCTTGGCCCTAATGCCACTTGATTTATCTAGGGGAAGAGTGGTTCAAACTTTTTGGAGAAGACAGCGTTTCCTTGGCTGTGTCGAAGTCTTATTGCGGACAGAATTGATAAATACGGGTGTAAACAAGATGCTGCTGTTGCTGTTGCTGCTGCTGATGCTGCTGCTGCTTCTATTGCTGCTTCATTCAAGCCAAGATAAGCCAGGGATCAAAGTATTAACTTGGCTTGGTAAATGGAGAAGAAATGCAGTCATTACTAGAGACTTGGATATTTTTTTAGGGGAATCTTTTAGCTCTTTCAAAGTTGATTGAGTGCTTGTGATAGTTACACCTATAAACCCATAGTAATATTTTTGAAATCAATGTCTTTAAGAATATTCCAAATTTATAATACATAAATATACTTTACAGTATCACAACTTAAATCCTTATTATTATAACAAAATTAAAGTCATTACAAATTAATAAAATTCATAATGAAAACATATTTCTATACTAGCTCTCTTGAACAATATTTATTAGCTTATTATTGCTACCCAAAGCTATACAAATAACCAGCAAGAACCTAATTATTACAAAATAATATTGATTTCCATTTATAATCCCAACACACACTGGCAAATCCCGCTTGGCAAAACTTCTGACAACTATAAAGGGGATCTACGAAACATATGTGTGTGCAAATCCCTCCATCCGCCTTCCGTTCCGTTGGGCATCGGTCAAGAGGCTTCCTGGAGGGCCATGATATTTCACAGCTGTTTGGGTAGTAAATCAACCGCATAATGGAGCCATACAAAGGCCATCCGTCGTTTGCCATCCAGCTGGGCACTTTTGGGCCTCCACTGTGGCGGCCGGCTAGTCGATGATTAAAAACTCTTAATTGTCGGGATCTGGGATCCGGAAAATTGAATGAACATTAAAGTGCCCGGCGACCAGCCCGGGAGGGATCATGAATCATGGTCGGAGGGTAACTTCATGCGAAAGCTTTTCAATCTGGTTCGCATATTTAAGCGTAATGCCTTCAATCCGAGACCAACTTTTATGCCTGCCGGGGGCCAGGAATCGCACTAAAATCGGTAGCAACAGCGGCAACAACAGCGGCGCCAACAGCAATCCCAGAAACAACAGAGCAGCGCCAACAATAAGAGCAAAGGCAGCAACATCAACAACTGGAAGCAACAGCAACAACAGCAACAACATCAGCAGCAGCAACATCAGAACCACAGCAACAATCGAAATGAGAGCGGCAAATTTTAACGAGCACCACAAAACCCCAGCGCTCTGCTTTTTTAAGCCGCTTTCATTTACCCGGCCCAAACGGTGTAAGGGGTAGGGGGTGTAGGAGGGGGTCTCCTCCCTGGCTGTGTAATTACAAAAAAGCCGCGGGCTAAAGTTGGGAGCAGAACTTGACAAATGGCAACGGTGGGTAGAGCGGTGGAGCAATGGAGTTCCAAGGGGGGCGAGCCGGTTAACCAGGATAATAGGATGAAACAAATGTAAATGAGGCAGGGGGAGCCGGTTGCAATGGGAAATGTGCCCTCGACAAAAATAAAACAATACAAAACAAAGGCAACTCTAGTGTCTCGACAGAAAAATACCAAGTTCGAGGTTTATTAAACCCTCAGTAAAGGCATTTAAAATTTAATGAAAAGTGTTATAAAGTTTAATTTAAAAAGGGAAAGTAAAAATTCAGTAGCTTACCAATTTTGTTAAAATATTAAAAACATAGAAAAACATGGTAACGATTTTTATATCGTAATAAAAACTCTTCCCCCTCTATTTACTATATATTTAAAATACCCTCCAACTTAAAAATCAATGGATATAAAAATAATAAAAGAAAAGAACGGGACACACAGGACACGAACACAACAAATCGGGACACAGAAACGTTGACTCAAAAATCTGTTAAAGACATCTCCAACTGTGTTTCTTTTTTTTATTCCTGCATCTGTGTCCCAAATGGAACATCGCCGCAGGTGTCGTGTCCATGGACAAAAAAAAAGAAAGAAAGCAGCAGAAATCGCGACGCGTGGCTCCGGGATTTATGAACCTGGTATGGGAAACCCCAAACAGTAGTGAAAAGTTGGTCCTGTCTAGATTTCCATGTTGCGATACTGCACAGACTACGACAAATATTTTAAGCTCTATCTTGATGCTGTCGGAATTCACTTATTGGATGTACAAATTTACAGGCTCTGGTCGTCCAAAGTGTCGAGATACAAAATGTTTTTTAGCACACAAGCTCGGGCATTTTCTTTATTTTCATTTGTGCTTTTATCAAACGAATTCCGTTTGCATGCATATAAACTTTTTTTTTTGTAAGGTTTGCCTTGTATTTTTATTATTTGATGCCATGGCAATTATGTGACAATATATTGCAATGCAAAAAC